AAACTACAGGTTTCCTCATCAAATGAAGGCAATCCTCTACACTTCCACCCAATTTGCTCCCTGAAGTCAAAGCACCAGCACCTTAAAACTCTGCAGTGTGCATTAACAGCTCAGTCTTACACATAACCACCAACAAAACCTGCCCTTCCCAGCCCTGCGTGTCAGCCTGTGCCCACAGGACACCCACACAGTCCTTCTGAAAGGTAAAGCCTTTCTGGTTAGATGAGGAAACAAAAACCTAAGTCATCGTACACACACAAGTTCACTGTCAGCACTAAACTGTGCCGAGGAGGCTTGTGAGAGGTGTTCAAGAACTGCAGCAGGACTCAGTTCTTCTCTCCTTGAGATGCGAGATGAGATTTCAGCTTTTAAGTGATGTCTGTTTGGTACAGCCCTTTGCTCACCTTATCTCTCTAATGGAAATATTGGCACTAGAACTCCCTCACGCACAACAGCAAATGTCATCAAGCCCTTCAGGCTGGGCAGGCAGGTGACATAAATAACCAACCCTCTCTGCACGGAATATGCATGTCCACTGAGAGGAAAGTGCTCGTTGATGTGACAAGGAGAAGCCATGTGCCACATGCAAAGAGGAATATGTCATCTTGCCACACAATGCAGAAGGCAACAATCCAACTGAAAGCAAGGGAAGGCAAATGTCACTGTGCTGAGTTCACAGATTGACACTCTGCAGCCTTCAGAAGAGGAAGGATTGATGTTTCCCACACTTCAGCAGACATTAGGCTGTCAAACAGGTATAAGCTGTAATTTTGGGTTTCTAGAGCTATAAGGTTTCTAGATTGAGAAATGAACCTGCCAATATTCTGGTGGCATGCTCAGGCCACAGCAACCACGGGAGAAACAATCTGAAGTGGGTTCTGTGCTCACAGTCTGGCCTCTGGTACCCACCCTGGAACAGCATCTTCCCTGGCACACATCCCTCCTTCATGTACCACCCTCCCTACCTGTTAAACTCACTCACCTAGATGGCAGTGAGAAGGCAGAATACAAAGCAAGAGATGGAGGTGACATGGAAAGCATCAAGAAGTGCCATCAGTGGCACAAACTTCAGTGATTACCCAAGTGGCTTGATGGGCAATGAGAAAGGACTAATGTGCAGCCACAGCAGCTCCTACACACCCTGCTTGGGCAACAATGTGCATGCAAAGCAGTTTTCTACAGAGGTATGGCTCAAAAGTCTTCCAAAATTGGGAATGAGAAGCAGGTGAGGCAGCACAGAGGAGACAGTGGAGCAGGAGATAAAGCTCATGCTTACTTTGCACTGCCAGTCCCATCAAATATGATATGCCCAGGTCATACTCTGGCTCCTGATGAGCATCCTCACCTACACTCCATGGGCTCTGTCCTGCCCTCTCCTTCCAAAAAGCAGAGTCAGGCACAAGCAAAGCCAACAAAACTACTAAACAGCAGTGTGGGATCGGGGGGAAACCTCCAGTCCACATTCCTTCACCGCAGGATTTGCAATGCAAAGGCTGCAGGCCCACAGCTCCTTTGGGGGTTAAAGCCAAGCACAGAGAGCCACAGACGTGAGGCCTCACATTCAGTCACATCCCTAGGAACATCCTGAACTTATTTGGGGCTGGTGGGACTCAGGCACATCCCTGAAACACGGACAGCTCCTCTCTGATGGAGCAGGGGGTGTGGCAGCTGCCTCTCCTCTACTACAGCAGGAAGTATTACATCTAAATTGGTTACATGCACCGATAACCACAAGTTTTCAACAACTTGAAGTCACCCAACTAACCGTGCAGGGATGTGTGGGTGCTCACTACGAGTGAGAGATGGAATCAGCCAAGCTGAGCCTGTAGCAAAGGTGATCTACCCAGGGAAAACACGTTGTGGGGTCAGGGCTGGGAAGGTGCTGTTGGTGACATGGACAAAACCCACCTGATCACCAGCCTTGGCAGAGCTACTGCATCCCCAACAGAGTCAGCAGGCATGAAAGATGCAGGCAGACAGCTCAGAGAGCAGTGAACAGAGCCTGGGAACACAGCCTGGCAGCTGGCACTGCCAGCAGGTCCAGCCTCAGACCTGCAGCTGCAGGACCAAACCGAATTTTACCCATTTTGGAGAAGAAACTGGTGACTGAGCACAAGTGAGAAATGAGGACAAGGGAACAATGACCTGGAAAAGGACTGGAATGCCCTTCCTTCCACCAGGGCTGGAGCCTGGAGAGCAGGCCAGGCTGCCCAGCTCAGAGGGTGGAATAATGTCAGGCAGGCGTGGGAATGCTGTGTGCAGCTGAGCACCACTCAGGAGTGAGATTAACCTACTTGGCACCAGTGAGGATCCCCAGGCCCTTGGCACCAGGGAGATCCCAGTGCCAGGGGGTGCAGTGATGCTCCCTGGACCCTTGGCACCCATGAGGATCTCACTGCCATGGGGTGCAGTGATGCTCCCCAGAGCCTTGGCACCAGTGGGATCCCAGTGCCATGGGGTGCAGTAATGCTCCCTGGGCCCTTGGCACCAGTGGGATCCTGGTACTATGGAGCACAGTGATGCTCCCAGGACCCTTGGCACCAGTGAAGATCCTGGTATCGTGGAGCACAACAATGTTCCCAGGACCCTTGGCACTAGTGGGATCTCAGTGCCATGGGGTGCAGCAATGCTCCCCAGACCCTTGGCACCAGTGAAGATCCCACTGCCACGGAGTGCAGTGATGCTCCCTAGGCCCTTGGCACCAGTGGGATCCTGGTACTGTGGAGCACAGTGAAGCTCCTGGGACCCTCGACACCAATGAGGATCCCACTGCCATGGGGTGCAGTGATGCTCCCCAGACCCTTGGCACCACTGTGATCCCAGTGCCATGGGTAGCTGTGCTGCTCCCAGTTGACCCCAGGCAGGGATAACCAGGCCCACCGCTCACCCCAGGCCATACCCACCCACCCCAAACCCCACTCACCGATCTGCCCGATGAACTCCACTTTGATACCCTGATGCTCCAACCTCTTGTTGGGATTCTTCAGGGTGAGGACCACCCTCCCGGACACCGTCTCCCCATCATAGAAAAGGAAGTATTTCTCCTTCTTTCCCTCCTCCGTCTTGTGCTCCACGCGCCGCCGGCTCTCGGCATCGCTCAGCACCAGCTCCAGCTCCGCGCTCTGCCCGAACCCGAAGAAGCTCATGGTCCCGGGCGGCAGGGGGGGGGTTACCCCCGCGGCCCCGCGGGCGGATCG